AGGGGCTTATTGTGTTGAGTTATGACATGTAATGCTATGATGTGTCATGTGATGTTGTGCTATTGAGTTGTGTGTGTTGTCAGGTATGGTTTGTCATTGTATGGTATTATATTGTGTGATATGGCATGTTATGGTATGCTACGGTATGGTATGCCATGTTTGAGCATGCCATTATATGATATGTTGTGTTATGACATGGTACATCATGATGTGGTATGTTATACGTAGGTCTGTTATGTTATGTGATGTCATATTATATGCTATGTTATGTTTTGTTGCGATGATGCTGATTGTGATGATGATGATGGTGGTGGTGTTCATGTTGATGATGATCGTGATGATGATGATGATGATGATCATGATGATGATGATGATGATGATAAGGTTGATGGTGCTGCGGCTGATGCTGATGATGCTGATGATGCTGCTGCTGATGATGATGCTGAGGATGATGGTGATGATGATGGTGATGATTATGATGCTGATGATGGTGATGGTGATGGTGATGGTGATGGTGATGATGATGATGATGATGATGATGATGATGATGATGATGATGATGATGATGATGATGATGATGATGATGATGATGGCAGAGCAACTTCTGAGGACGTCTCGAGCGAGGCGCGGGTTTCAGCATCCTCAAGGGGGAGCCGCCATGGGGGTATCTCACTCCTCCGTTCGCGCCAAAATGGCGGGGATGTTTCGAGCGGTTTGCCGGTTTGCGTGCGCAGCAACCTCCGCTTCCGGAGCAGATTTGGAGGATGCTTCGAGCGAGGCGTTGATTTTCACCCCCAAGGGGGGCCAGATGTTGAGAATGTCTCGAGCGGTTCGTCTGTTTCGGCGGCCAGACTCGTGGGCACAGATCCTCCCCAGGATGCCACAGGAGGCTCCAGCAGAAGCTCCAGGAGGCCTCAGGAGGCTCCAGGATGTTCCAGGGGGCCACAGGACGCCAAAGGAGGTCCCAGGAGGCAACAGGAAGCGCCAGGAGGCACCAGGAGGCCCCGGAAGGCCCCAGGAGGCCCCAAGAGGTCCCAGGAGCAGGAGGCCTCAGAAGGCCACAGGAGTGGCTCCAATCCTATGTGTTTTACGTTTGCTCCTATATATTGAGCCTCCCCCTGAACACGAATCCTTAGTGTTTTAAGTGTGCTTCTACAGATTATCCTCCTCCTGTGTATCCAATCCCAGGTGTCTTACGTATGTTCCTATAGATTGGGCCTCCCATGTGTGCACGAGTCCTTGGTGTTTTACGTGTGCTCCTGTATATTGCCTTTCTCCTGTGGCTCAAATCCGCAGTGTTCTATGCACGTCCGTTCCTATAGATTGGGCCTCTCCTGGGGCACGACTGCTCCTTAGGAGGCCCCAGGAGGCTCCAGGAGGCTCCAGGAGGCCCCAGGAGGCCACACGAGGCCCCAGGAGGCCTCAGGCGGCCACAGGAGGCCCCATGAGGCTCCAGGAGGCCCCAAGAGGCTCCAGGAGGCCCCAGGAAGCCCCAGGAGGTTTCAGGAGGCCCCAGGAGGCCCCATGCACATGCGCAGAGACGCGCTCGTACTACTGAGACTCATTCACACTCAAACTCATTTATTGTTCGATTCACTTCCATACCGTCAACACTCAAGCCCGTTTATATTCGATAACTCTGGCGCAGGTCCATGCAAATCGATGCACATATGTGGAGATCCCAGCAGTGATGACTTACCGACCACGCCGACTCCTTCATAACCTCCCTCCCTGTCCTCATGTGTTGTTATGGTTTGTCATGCTATGGCATGGCATGTTATGATGTAGTATGTATTGACATGTTGCTGTAGTTTAAGTTATGGTATGACGTTACATGTTATGGTACGGTATCGTGTGTTAATGTATGCTATGTGACGTTATGTTGTTGTTGGTGGTGGTGGTCATGCTGATGATGCTGATGGTGGTGATGATGATTATGCTGATGATGATGCTGATGATGATGTTGTTGGTGGTGATGATGATGCTGATGCTGATGCTGATGCTGATGACGATGACGGAGATGGTGGTGGTGCTGCTGCTGCTGATGATGATGATGCTGATGATGAAGATGATGACGATGAGGATGATGATGGTGGGGCGAATTCTGAGGATCTCTCGAGCGAGGTGTGGGTTTCAGCACCCCTAAGAGGGACCGCCAGGGGGTATCTCACTCTTCCGTTCGCGCCAACATGGTGGGGATGTCTCGAGCGGTTTGCCGGTTTGCGTGCGCAGCAACCTCCGCTTCCGGAGCAGATTTGGAGAATGTCTCGAGCGAGGCGCTGATTTTCGCCCCCCAAGGGGGGCCAGATTTTCATACTGGCTTTGGTTGCCAGACTCGTGGCCACGGATCCTCCACAGGATGCCACAGGAGGCTCCAGCAGGCTCCAGGAGGCCCCAGGAGGCTGGCCACAGGAGGTCCCAGGAGGCACCAGGAGGCCCCAGGAGGCCTCCGGAGGCCACAGGAAGCCCCAAGATCGGGGGGTGGACAGAGTCCCCAACAGTGACACGTCGATTAGTGAATTGTCCGTTTTCGGTTTTCGAGAGGGCGCCGTGGCCGTTATTTTCCAGGCTTGCGCCCGCCAGGTTTGGGCTCGAAGTCGTTTTCATTAAACCACGTTTTACTAAAGGGAGGTCCGTTCATCTCCGACAAGAGGCCCCAGGAGGTCCCAAGACGCTCCAGGAGGCCTCAGGAGGCTCCAGGATGCTCCAGGAGGCCACAGGAGGCCACAGGAGGCCAAAGGAGGACACAGGAAACGCCGGGAGGCACCAGGTGGCCCCGGAAGGCCTCAGGAGGCCCCAGGAGGTCCCAGGAGCAGGAGGCCTCAGAAGGCCACAGGAGTGTCTCAAATCTTATGTGTTTTACGTATGCTCCTTTATATTGGGCCTCCCCTTGAGCACGAATCCTTGGTTTTTTTGAGTGTGCTTCTACAGATTGTCCTCCTCCTGTGTATCCAATCCCAGGTGTCTTACGTATGTTCCTATAGATTGGGCCTCCCATGTGTGCACGAGTCCTTGGTGTTTTACGTGTGCTCCTATAGATTGCCACTATCCTGTTGCTCCAATCCGCAGTGTTTTACATCTGTTCCTGTAGATTGGGCCTCTCCTGGGGCACGGATCCTCCCCAGGAGGCCCCAGGAGGACCCAGAAGGCTCCAGGATGCTCCGGGAGGCCACAGGAGGCCCCAGGAGGCCACACGAGGCCACAGGAGGCCCCATGAGGCCACGGGAAGCCCCAAGAGGCCCCAGGAGGTCCCAAGACGCTCCAGGAAGCCCCAGGAGGTTTCAGGAGGGTTTCAGGAGGCCCCAGGCTCATGCGCAGAGACGCGCTCGGACTACTGAGACTCATTCCCTCTCCAACTCGTTCAAAGTTCGATTCGCTCCCAGGCCGTCGATACCCAACCTCGTTTATATACGACAACTTTTGCGCCCAGACACTCACGGCGGACAGGTCCACGCTAATTGATGCACACATTGGGAGCTCCACGCAGTGACTAATTGTATCTTATGTTGTGTTATGCTGGTGGTGGTGGTGATGGTCATGCTGATGATGACGGTGATGATGATGTTGGTGGTGGTGATGATGATGCTGATGCTGATTGCTGATGGTGGGGAGCTCTACGCAGTGAACAATGTTTGGTCGGGGCGGCGCGCATGCCCACAAATTGCCTGCTGCGCGCAGGGCCAGCATCTCTGTCATTAACAAGACAGCGTGCTCGCGCCCCCCTTCCGAGCATGACACACGATTTTGCGCCAGAGTGAATTTCATCATTATGTCGGAGGTTGGTTGACCTCGAGAGGGCGTCGTGGCTTTCATTTTTGCGGGTTCAGGTCCGTCGGTTTCTGTCCCAGGCCGTGTTCACGAAGGGGAGGTTTACTAAAGGACGGTTTGTCCACCGCCGATTTTGTTTTCCAGCAGGGATGGCCGGGGGGGGCCTCCTTCGTCCTGGTTGGTTGCCAGTCGCATGGGGGACAGGGCAGCACCCCTGTCAAAAACAACGCACAACGGCCACTTCGAGGCAAAGTCTGGATCATGCGTGGGAGCCCCGCGATCACCGTGCATTAGTTTTTGATTAGGGCGGCGGGGTTGATCACATGGGGTTCGCATTGGTTCCCGTTCGCTGCCCGTGCACCGACGGCTGCGGCGGCGGCGGCGGCGGCGGCTGCAGCGGCTGCGGCGGCGGCGGCGGCGCTGGCGGCGGCGGCGGCGGGGGGGCGAGGCGGCGGCGGCGGCGGCGGCGGCGGCGGCGGCGGCGGCGGCGGCGATGGCGGCGGCGGCGGCGTGGCGGCTGCGGCAACGGCTGCTGCGGCAGCGGCTGCGGCGGCGGCGATTTGGCAGCCGGGGCGGCGGCGGCGGCGGCGGCAGCGGCTGCGGCAGCGGCGGCTGGCGGCGCCGCGGCGGCGGCGGCGGCGGCGACGGCGGCGGCGGCGGCGGCGGCGCGGCGGCGGCGGCAGCGGGCGGCGGCGGCGGCGGCGGCGGCGGCGGCGGCTGCTCCGGGAGTGGCGACGGCGGCGGATTGGCCCCCAGTAGCTGCCCATCCAAACACGACTGCTGAATATGCTGGGGCTCGGGCCAGACTCGGGTGCTACGTACGTGTTGGGAGGGCGGGTGGGAGTGAGCGAGACGACATGCGGGCGGGGAGGGAGTCTTGACCCCCCCTTTTACCCTCCCCACTACCCTACGCCCCAAGCCCCCCCGACCCCCCCCGGGGCCTTCTCCGGGGAACCCTTTCCCCCGGACCCCCCCCCCCCCGACGGGGAGAGGATCAAAGGGACGAGGACGGGGAGGGGATCACACGGTCTTGATTATGGCATCGCTAGATGTTTCTCTCGCCGACAGGCTTGAGGAAGGTGCAGGGAAAATGGACGACGGAGACGACGATTGACGGAGACGACGACTCGAACAGACAAGCCTTTCACACACGCCAGCAGGGTCGGCGGATTCTAGCTTTATAGTCTTGCTCGGCTGCTAGCCCGTGTGTTTCTTACCCGCAGGCCCACTAGTCAGCTACAGCGCTGGGATAAGCGCGTGCGAGAAGAGCGAGCAGTGGCAGCGGGCTTTGGCGCTGTTGAGCGAGATTCGGGAGGCGAAAGTGGAGCTCAACGTTATGTCGATTTCAATGCTGGAAGAAGCCGCCGAGATATCCCCAAGCGGCCCCGAGAAAAGAGCACCAAGAGGGACCAGCCGGCGATCGCAATCGGCAGATCGCAGCAGTTGCAAGCAGCAGGGGGCACGCAGCAAAACGCATCAGGAAGTGGCAGCTAACAACGGCACACAGCAACGATCAGTAAACAAGAGCCAGCGACACCAGAGGCGGTATGATGAACAAGTGTACCAGGGGGCGGAAGGAGTCCCTGTTGTCCCTCTGGGACCTTTTGCGCGGATCCTCTCCACCATACAGGCAGCGCATTAGCCGATTTTGTTGCAATCACACCCTTGCGTGACCAAGCCAGCCGAGTTGCCGTCCTTATCATGTGAGACTACTGTGACGTGTTGTTTTTTGGGAGTTGCTCCATGAGTACGCTGTCTGTGAAGTCCACCCGTAGATTTACTACGGAGCTAGTCCGTCTTGGCAGCTTCAATACTTGGGCAATCAATCTCGGGGCCCTGTTGGGCCAACGTTGGAGGCCTCGGGGGCTCTGCTGGGGCCGTCTTGAGGCCCTCCTCGGCCCCTGTGGGGGCTCTAGTGGGCGATCTTGGAGCAACGGATGCCTCTGATACCCATCGGAAGCGACAAGGCGATACGTCCCGAGTCATGTGTGCTTTTGAAGGTTTGGGTAGGCGTTTGGTTGGCTTCTTGGGGGCGTCCCTAGGATACTCCGAGGCCGCTCGGAGCCGTGCGGGGGCGGTCTAGGGTCATTGTGGGCACGTTGGAGGCTACCTTGAGCTATCTTTGGCTATCTTGGGCGATCTTGGAGGCCGTCCAGGGTCGTCTTTGAGCCATAGTGGGCCCTCGTGAACGCACTACCCCTTCGCGCCATTCCCTAGCAGTCCCAGGGGAAGGGACAGGGGGGTGGGGTCGAGCTACCTCCCGAAGGACGGACGTCTCGCTCACTCCCAACCGCACCCCACAGGCTCCCGAGCAGCTCTCACGACGCCCCGGGACACGCCAAGGTGATGCGAAGGTTGCTCAGAGTGGCTCCAACTCTGGCTCCACGCAGGGCCTGGCGGAGGCGAAACACGTTGGCCTCGATGATGCTGTGACATGTTTGGGCTGCTCTCCAGCATGGGTTCCAGGCGACTCCCAGAGTTGCCGCAGAGGCCGAGGCGGCGCAGGACCGTCCCGAGAGGACCCCGAGCGCATCCCGAACGCCTCGGGCCTCCCCAGGAGCAGCCCCCCGCGGGCCCCAAAGAGAGCGTGGCCCCAGCAGGGCCCCGGCAGGGCCCCCGCGAGATGCCCCGGGGCGGGGCCCCCAGCAGTGCTCCAGAAGCTTGTCCCGAACGGGCCCCACCAGCCATCCCGGAGGAGGTGAGGGGGAGGAGGGGGAGGAGGGGGAGGAGAGGGAGGAGGGGGAGGAGGGGGAGGAGGAGGAGGAGGAGGAGGAGGAGGAGGAGGAGGAGGAGGAGGAGGAGGAGGAGGAGGAGGAGGAAAGAAGCACACAGACTCAATGAAACGTCGATTCCCGAAGAACATATGCGAGGATTGGAAAGTGAGGGGGGGAAGACAAAAAACTCAGGAACTGTGGGAGAACATGGGGAATCCTGTTTTTGTGTGTATGTATTTGTGTGTCCCAGGGCCCCTTCAAAGTTGGTCCCGAGAGGGCCCCACCAGCCACCCGGGAGGAGGCGAGGTGTGCGGCCGCACGCGCGGCCAGGCCGCGGGGAGAGACTCGTGTGGTGGCCGCTCCTCGAGCCTCCTCGCTCCACGTTCCTCGTGCCTGCCCGTTGCTCCTCGCTGCTCGTTGCTCCCTTCCGCTCCCTGCTCCTCGCTCCTCGCTCCCCGCAGCGCTCCTTCTCGCTCCGTGCTCCTCTCCCCTTGCCCCCGCGCTGCTGGCTTCTCTTTCCAGGCCCGTCGCTCCTCCCTCCTGGCTCTTGGCTACTCGCGCATCCCTCCTACCCTCCTCCCTTCTCACCTCATCCTCCTCCCTCCTCGGCCGCCGCTCATCCCTTCCCTTCTCCTCGCTTCTCGCGAACCGCTCCTCGCTGTCCTCCTCAGGCCTGACTCCTCGCTCCTCAGCCCTCTCACGAGCAGCATGCCGCGTCAGCAGCAGCTCGTAGCACGAAGCAAGCAGCAGCAGCTGCAGCACACAGCAACATAACACATCAGCAGCATGCACCAGGCAGTTGCATCCTGCAGCTGCACTAGACAGATGCAGCAGCAAGTACCAGCGGCAAGCCTTACCAACGGCAGACAACAGAGGCAGCAAGCAGCAGCATGCACCAGCAGGCACATACCATCAACCAGAACCAGGCAGCAGCACGCAGCAGCGTCAAGCTGCATCCAGCAGCTGCTCGCAATGGCCATCACCAGCCCGCCGCGGCGAGAAAGATGCACACATTTATCCAGCAGCCTCCGGCAAGTCCCACCACCGTGCCTGGGTTGTGGGTTATCAGCTTAGTGGATGTTCGTTGGAATCTCGTGGGAGGCCTCTTGGGGGTCTTGGGGGCCTCTTCGGGGCCTCGTGGGGGCCTCTTGGGGGCCTCTTGGGGGCCTCTTGGGGGCCTCTTGGGGGCCTGTTGGGACCCTCTTGGGCGCCTCTTGAGGCCTCCTTGGGGCCCCTTTGGGGCGGAAGGCTCGGATTTTCGGGGTTCGTGCTCCTTGTCTTGGGGCCACTTTTGGGATCGTCTTGGGGCCCTTCTGGGCCGTCTTGGGAGCCTCTCTGGGCTTCCTATGCCGTCCTGGAAGTTGGCCAGGGAGGCGCAATGGCCGCCCAGGGGCCCTGGGAGTATGGGCGGTGCACGCGACGAGGTGCGGCCCGGAGAGGGGGGGCCCTTAGAAGATGACGAAAACCCTACCAGGCAGCACTTGGCATACTCGCACGCCTCAACGTGCCAGGGGGCACGGTGGCGGATATCTGTAAAGAGATTACGCAGGTGTTGACAGATGTTTACATGCACATAGGTATAGAAGCTTGCAGCAAGCGGTACCAATCATCAGCAAGCGTCAGGAAGGGGCAACGAGCAGACAAGCAGGCAAGCGAGCCTCACCGTTGTACGCGATCGAGCTTTCGCGGACGGTATTCTACAGGTTGGCCCCAGTCCGTTGCTGTTGCTAGCGCTGTCGCTTACTGCGCTTCGATCAGCGCGTGCGAGAAGGGTGCACAGTGGCAACAGGCTGTGGAGCTGCTCAGCGAGGCGAGGGAGGCGAAGCTGGAGCCCAACGTCACCTGCACGGCTTTGCAGGAACTCTTGGATGCCAGATGTCTCAAGGGGATCGATTCGCGGCGCACGGACTGGACCCCCAGAGAGCCTCCACGAGCCTCCACCGCGCGAGCCCCCACCGACGTCATCACGAACAACCTTCGGCAGCTTTCCCGCCAGCACGTCACGTGCTAGCCTCAATTTTGCAATGCAGAACCCCCGCGTGCGAGTTGGAGGGTCTGCGTGCCCTCGAAGCCCGAAAACGTTCCCTGCGCCCCAGGAGGTTCCCGTACGGCCCAGTGGGCTCCCGCAGAGTGTTCTCCTGGGGCCTCCGACGGTTCTCGGGCGGCCTCGTACAGCGCGAAGGACATTCCGAGACGACACTGAGGTTGCCCCGGGGTAGGTTCGCCGAGGGCCCCCAGAGGCGAAACCAGCGCGGCGAAGAGCCCAACGTTTTGCTTTGGATGGAAGAGTTGTTGCTGCGTGTATCTAGCCTTGTCCAATGTTCGAAGCGCGCAAGCGGCGCGGTGGTCTACAAGCCAGCACCAGCGTCAGCATTGCCATAAACAAACAAACGTGTAATGTAGCGCGGGGCGTGGCCGTCTCCTCGTATACTTGTACGGTGGGCCTGGGGGAAAGGGTTGAGCCAATCGTTTCGAGACAGTCCCAGGTTCGTGTTTTATATGTATGTTGTTGTTCATTTGATCTTCCACATGCCAGCATATTTATAGTCATACATATAGATATGTAAATATATTTGCACATATATACTTATGTATACATATCTAAAGAACATTACAACTCGTGTTTCCGAAACGAAGGTTTACTATCGTTTATAAGCGCAGGTGGTGTCAACATCGCAGAGTCAGACAAGTACAACTTCAAGGAAATCAGTTGGAGTACATGTTATTACGTTTTTCCTTGGGTTGCCTTCAAACAGATTGCACACATCAGAGCACGCACAACACACATGGTAGTATTCATGGAGCCGTGCCAACTCAGACTAACAAATGATAGTTGAATCATTGCCCCGCAGACAACAGACGTCGTTCTTGCAATTAATGCGTGCCCCGTCTGTGCGATCGCGGACAAGTTTTGCTGGGAAACGCACCACAACCATGTACCTGTATGATAGGAGTGTCATGTTTACGTGCAACATGCTGTTGTAAGTTTCATGGGCCGCGTACATTCATATGAACCGCTGTTGTTGTAAAGCGTTTCTCATTCAGGAGTCGCGGCGGCAGTGCCACGTTTATACACATCCAACTGACGTCTTTAGCAGGTCTGCCGTTCAATGCTGTTGGCGAGATTTGACTTTCTCTTCTAAACTTCGCGGGGGTCAAAAACAGATCTCATGTTCCGATACGAGGCAGCTTTTTCCTTGTAGTTCAATGTTCCCCAATATTCGCGGACAGATCAACAGCCACTTGAAAGGATGCATGGGTAGTGCAGTGTGACAGAGAGATTGCTTTGTAAAACAAAACACGTTGTTGTCTTCACGGGTCCAGGTAGAGCATATGGATAAAGCGTTGTTAACCTTCATTCGTTTAAAATATAGGAAGCTATGATACGGCAGTTGATTCGTCTCCAGTCTCCAGTCTCCTTGGCGTTCCCAGGCGTTCCAAGAGGACCAAAGAGGGTCCCGAGAGATCCCTCGAGACCGTTCGAGGCGAGGCACTATACCGCGCAAGAGCGCTCCAAGACGGCCCCAGATCGGTCCGAGAAGGCCCAACCGTGGCCCAACATGACTTCTGACAGCTCAAGGGGGGGCCCCAGGAAGAGACTCCAGCACAGACAACAATGTGTAGTCCAATTGTTTTCTCAACGCTGTCGTATACAGGTTTTTGCAGGCCTCGCATCGCCCGCGAGAGTCCCGGAGGCTCCTCGCGAGAGCCCCAGAGGCAGGATGGCCGCAAGACTGCCCAGCAGGGCTCGAAGATGGCCCAACAGGGCTCCTAGACCGCCCAGAATGTCTTCAAGGTGGCCCCAAGACAGGCCCAACGCGGCCCAGGAACTCACCAAGATGGCCCGTAAGACCCCCCCGACCGTTCCCGGACTCTCCCCAAACATCTCCCTGCTGCCCCAAGGGCTGAGGGCCGCCCAAGGGTCTCCAGGAGGCCTGCAGAAGGCCCCACGAGACCCCCTTCACAAGGCTTGAGTCGGGCACGTCCCTCAGGGGGCCTAGTAAAACAAATGTTCTGGGAGCATTTTTTTGTTTTTTTTTGTGTAGTATTCTCGACCATTTGGGAGTGCTTTTTGACAATTTTTAGCTTTCGTCCAACACCCCCCTGTGGGAGGACATGCCCGACCTCACACTGGGCCCCGAGAGGCCCCTCCCTCCTCGGCCCTCTCTCCTCGGCGGTTGCTCCTCCCGTCTCGCTCCTCGCTCTTCGCTGCTCGCTCCTCGTGCTTCCCCCCCCTGTTCCTCCTCGATCTCCTCGACCCTGACTCGTGTTTCCCCCCCCTCCCTCCTCGATCTCCTCGTGTTCCCCCCCCCCCCCCCTCCCTCCTCGATCTCCTCGTGTTTCCCCCCCCCCCCCCCTCCCTCCTCGATCTCCTCGACCCGGACTCCTCGACCCGGACTCCTCGACCCTCTCCGGGCAGCAGTTTGCGTCAGCAAGCCGAAGTAGAGAGAACCAGCAACTTGAAGCATCAAGTAGCAGCGATGGCAGCAGCGCGCAGCACGAGGCGGGCAGCAGCAGTGACAGCAGCAGCGTCAAAAGCAGCAGCAAGCAGCGGGCAGCAGTTCGCACCAAGCAGAACTGGTCATCAGCAGCACAGCCACAAACAGCAACAGCAGCGGCATCAAGCAGCAGCACGCAGTAGCACTCGCGGAATGCGTATTTCGAGCCCGACGTTATCTTTTCCGCCGGCATCATGTCTATTATCACGTCCAGCTCCTGCAGATTTTGTGGACGTAGTCCACGGGCCGGCACAATTCAGCTACACCGCTGGGATTAGAGCGTGTGGGAATGGCGGGGAGTGGCAGCGGGGCTTGGCGCTGTTCCGAGAGATGCGGGATGCTGCATTGGAGCTCGGCGTCATAAGCTACAACGTGGGCATGGTCACGTGCGTGAGGGGCGGGCAGTGGCAGCAGGCTCTGGGACTGCTGGGCGAGATGCAGGAGGCGACCGTGGAGCCCGATGCGGTCAGCTACAACGCTGGGATCGGCACCTGCGAGAGAGCAGCCGGGCGTGCCGCCTGTCTCGGCCCGCCCGGGCTCCCGATCCTCCACGGGCCGGGCTGGGTTCGCTCCTGACAGGCGCGGTCTGCAGCAAGCAGCGGCGAAGCGTCCTGGCGCGCCTGTGCTCCTACCAATCCATGTTTTCGGAACCTTGTGTGGCTTTCACGACATGTCTTCTTAGAACAGTTCTGGCTGTGACTGTCTTGTTTGAGCACATCGGGTTCATGCTCGAAGTCCCTTGTTTCAGTTATGAGTTCTTTTGTGGGTTCTAGGGAGATTTCGTGGCAGGATTACAGGATTGCCGGGACTGTCAGTCCCTGCTCAACTCTATGTTCATGGCAGCCCGGGAGTTTTCTGCTGCGATCGTGGCGCCCGACGCCATCGGCTGTGCGAGAGGAGCGAGCAGTGGCAGCGGGCTCTGGCGCTGCCGAGCGAGATCTGGGAGGCGGGATTGGAGCCCAGCGTCATCAGGATACAACAGGTAGGTGCGTCTCGCTGGCGCGGCGGCGTTGGAAGCAGCAGTTCACCTGGCACTGCGGAGACAACTGGCAGGAAGAGACGCTGGACATGGAGAGGTGGGCGGATTCCCGCGCAGCGTGGCTGACAGGCCGACAACGCTGGCAGAAAGAGTAGTGACCGAGCTTTGCTAGCGCTGCATGTAGAGCGCTGTGGCGATTCGGAGTCAAAGTCAAAAGACGCGGCGGCGACTCCAGCGCGGGCGTTCGGGGGTGAGCGTTGTCAGCTCCCTGGAATCGGCCCGTGTCGAGCGATACCGTTTTTCTTGAAAGCCGCAGCTGCTCAAGGTCGAACGCTCTGCGTGTAGGGGGCCACATGCGAACCCTGCCCCTACCCCCCACGGTTTCAGAGGGGGAGGGTGGAGTTCACTTCGCTCGAGAGCTCCCGAACGAAGTGAACCCCACCCTCCCCCAGAAATCCTGGGGGGCAGGGGTAGGGCTCGCATGTGGCCCCTTAGCGTGGCAACAGGCGCCAGCGCCGACGGCATCACGACGCCCTCCCGCCGCACCCCAACAGCGAAGCAGCGACCACCGCACCCCTCAGGGGGGGGAGCCACCCCTGGGCGGTGGCACGCCCCAGCGCGCCGTCCGGTACTGGTTGTCACTGGGGCGTGCCGCCGCACAGCGACCTTCCTCCTCCTCCTCCTCCTCCTCCTCCTCCTCCTCCTCCTCCTCCTCCTCCTCCTCCTCCTCCTCCTCCTCCTCCTCCTCCTCCCGCCTCCCTCCTCCCTCCTCCCCCCTCCCTCCTCCCTCCCTCCCTTCTCCCCCCTCCCTCCTCATTCCTCCCTCGCTTCCTCCTCCGTCCTCCCTGCCTCTCTCCCTCCGTGCGTTCGCGTGGCCCGCTGAGTGTGCGTGGCCACGGGTGTGTTCGTGTGGCCCTGCGCACGTCCGGATGCAGAACTCGTCTCGATTCCTCCGATTCGGTTCGAGTCGATTTCGATCGAATCTCATTCCGATTCGATTCGGGTTTGGATTCCGATGTGGGCTCCGATTTCTCACTGGAGGCCTACTAGCCTGCCGATGTACGCCGATGTCCGCCGATTCGACTTTTCCCTACTCGGCTGCCGATTTCCGCCGATCCGATTCATGTCGTTCGCCGATCCTAATTGTTGATTCGATTCTGGGCTCTCCTGCTGCGAATTGGTGTTGCTGTGGGCCGCTCTGGTTTCTCACTTCAAAGTCGTACATCAGCATTTCCTCTGTTGGCTCTGCACCTCTGGGCAGCTCTTGCAGGGTGGAAGACAGTTCGGTAGCAGTAACAGTTGTAATAATGACGATGGAAATGGCGTGGCAGTGGCAGTATTAGTATTAGTAGGCATATAACAGGGGACCGGGCCCAGGGGCCTGGGGGCCACGACCACTATGTCAAATGGAGAGCCCGGGAGCCGGGTCCGCCTTTGGGGGTTCCAAAAGCGCCCCGGAGAGCGGTCCGACAGGCGTCATGGCGGCCTGAGACAGTCGCGAATCACTCTCAGAATGGCCTCCAGGGGTGTTCGACAGCTCACGAGGCGTCTCGAACGGCCCCTGATGCGTCCAGGACGCTTGCAACCCCTCCACGAGGTCCCCCAAGAGGGCCCCGACAAGCAAACATCGCCCCATTCCCTTGTCTGTGAAATCTACACTTTTTGCATGCTCGTTTTTGTTGGTCCTCGTACCGTCCTCAACGACCTCCGAGGCCCCAAAGATCGCCCCAAGACGGCCCAAGAGGCCCTCAGGAGGCGCCCCCGAAGAGCCCCCAGGTAGGCGCCCAAGACGGGGAGGGTCAGACTGAAATTTTGAGCCCCCCGCCCCAAGAGGACCCGCGAGGCCCCCAAGAGGCCCCCAAGGGCCCCCAGCGAGCCCCCGAGAGGCCGCCAAGAGTCCCCAGCGAGCCCCCGAGAGGCCCCCGCGGCCCGCCCCAAGAGGACCCGCGAGGCTCCCAAGAGGCCCCCGAGGATCCTCTGCGAGGCCCCGAGAGGCCGCCAAGGCGCCCGCGAGAGGCCCCGAGGGGCCCCCCTGGGGGCCGCGAAGAGGCTTCCGAGAGGCCCCAGGAGGCCCCGAGGGAGCCCCCCAGGAGACCCCCCGAGAGGCCTCCTGCCCCTGTATACCTAAGTCGGGCCTGTCCCTCTACGTATACAGGAGTAATTCTCCCAAATTTCAATTTCTACACATATAACAAATACAAGTGTCAGCTATTTTTTATTTGTTTGACTATTTTTCATTGTTCGTCCAAAATCCGCCTGTAGGGGGACAGGCCCGGTCTAACCCTATACCTCGGGTCCGTTCTTTTCTTCTCCACCCTGTTTCTTCCGTGCTCCTTCCTAGTCGGGCACGGCCCTTCTTGCGTGCTATGCGCAGGGTTCCAGGACAGGTAGAACCTGAGCGCACGCGCAACGCGCGCGCTGTCTCTATAATGCGTACCTATACGACCACCCTTCGGGTGATAAGGAGGTTGGGGGGGGGAACCAACGTCTCACTCGATCGGTCTCGCTATCGATCTCAGTATCGATCTCACTATCGGTCTCGCTCGATCGATCTCACTCGCTCGATCTCACAATCGATCTCACTCGATCTATCTCAGTCGATCGATCTCACAATTGATCTCACAATCGATCTCACAATCGATCACACAATCGATCTCACATTCGGTCTCAATATCGATCTCACTATCGATATCACAATCGCTCTCACAATCAACGTCATCATCATCATCAACATCATCAACATCAACATCATCACCAACATCGTCATCATCATGAGAGCACCGTCGTCATCATCATCATAAACATCATCATCCATGTAAGCATCATCATCGGGACAACATCATCGTCATCATCACCATCATCATCTCATCATCAACATCATCATCATCATCTGGACACAGTCATCGTCATCATCATCATCAGCAGCATCATCAGAATCATCATCCTAATCGGGACACCATCATGATCACCATCGTTCTCATCAACATTATCATCAACATCGTCATCATCCTCGGGACCCCATCATCATGATCATCGCATCATCATCGACATCGTCATCATCATCAACAACATCATCATCATCATTGGGGCACCATCATCATCATGAGCAACATCATCATCATCATCATCGTCATTATCATTATATCATCATGGGGACACCATCAGCATCACTATCATCATCATCACCATCATCATCATCAGCATCATCATCAGGACACCATAATCATCATCAACACCATCATCATCCACATCATTGTCGCCGGGACACCATTTCCATCAACATCATCATCGCAAACATCATCGGAATCATCATCATCATCATCATCATCATCATCCTGATCACCATCGTTATCATCATCATCGTCGTCATCGGGACACCATCATCGTCATCATCATCAACATAATCATCATGAGCATCATCATCCTCATCATCGGGACATTATCATCATCGACACCATCATCAACATCATCATCATCATCTTCATCGGGGCACCATCATCATCGTCATCATCATCATGATCATCATCATCGTCATCATCATCATCATCACCATCATCATCGTCATCGTCATCGTCATCATCATCATCATCATCATCATCATCATCATCATCATCTCATTATCATCGTTCTCGCGGGACACCGCGGGACACCGGCGGGACACAGCGGGACAACGCGGGACACTGCGGGACACCGCGGGACACCGGCGGGACACCGCGGGGCCCCGGCCGCCCGGAAGGGAATCATTTGGTCCGGCCGCGCCTCAGCCACACGGGACACCAGCGGGACACCGGCGGGACACCGCGGGGCCCCGGCCGCCCGGAAGGGAATCATTTGGTCCGGCCGCGCCTCAGCCACAGGAGACTTTCTCTCGCCCGCCCACGCAGCTTCGCCTCGCCCGCACGGCACGCACGAACACGGAACCGAAATCGATTTCCCGGTAGGGGGGCTCTCCGTTCCACTTCGATCTCACCCCCCAACCTCCGATGCACATGCGCATGCGTGCACTCGAACGTTTGCCAGCGTAGGCCCCCAATACTGAGCTCTTGTTCTCCGGGTGTGTAAGCCGTGTGGTGCACGCTGAGCGGTGCAAAGCTGCGTGCGCGCGGCAGTCCATGTGATGCAGCCCGTGCGTGGTGCGAGCAATGTGTTGTGAGCAGTGTGGTGCAAGCTATGCGTGGTGTGGTGTGAGCAGTGTGGCGCAAGCTGTGCGTGGTGCATGCTATGTGGCGTAAGCTATGTGGGGAAACAGCTGTGCAGTGCAAGCAGAGCGAGGCGCCCGCGAGGCGCCCACGCCTCCCCGCCAGGCAGATACTGGGCGGATCCAGCCAGCGCACGGCACGGGGCACAGCCGAGGCTCCCGAAACTTCCCGTTGGGGGAAACCTTGACAGACCCACGACAAATTACTCATGATGGGCGTGTTTTCCACCGCAACCACCAGAAGTTGGAGGGGGGAAGGAGGTCGAGGATGATGATGATGATGATGATGATGATGATGATGATGATGATGATGATGATGATGATGATGATGATGATGATGATGCTGATGCTGATGATGATGATGCTGATGCTGATGATGATGATGATGATGCTGATGCTGATGCTGATGCTGATGCTGATGCTGATGCTGATGCTGATGCTGATGCTGATGCTGATGCTGATGATGATGATGATGATGATGACGATGACGATGACGATGACGATGATGATGATGATGATGATGATGGTGATGATGGTGATGATGGTGATGATGGTGATGATGGTGATGCTGGTGATGATGGTGATGATGATGATGAGGAGGAGGAGGAGGACGAGGAGGAGGCAGAGGGAGAAGGAGGACCCCCTCCCCCTTCCAACTTATGGTGCTGGTGGTGGAAGTCAGGCCCATCAACTCATGGGTAGGAGGTGGGAGCGCCTGAGTGCAAGCCCCATTTGGGAAACCCCCTTCCTCCATCTTTCCCCTCGCTCGTCTCCCTATCCTTCCCTGATCGCCCCTCCCCCGGCAAGGACGGGAGGCAGCAGGAGGGCGGAGATGGAGGAGTAGGAGGAGGAGGAGGAGGAGGAGGAGGAGGAGGAGGAGGAGGAGGAGGAGCAGGTTTTTTTTTGTTTGAGCCGGCCCTCCTGCAGCCCCACTACAGCACGCCAGTGGGCGAGTGAGGCCCTTCCTGGCCCTGCAGTGACGCGTTTCCCGTCTTTCGCACTCGTCTCCCTCGCGCTCGTCCCCGTCGTCGTCGTCGTCGTCGTCCGTCCCCGTCCCAGTCCCAGTCCCCGTCGTCGCCGTCGCCGTCGCCGTCTCCGTCCCCGTCCCCGTCCCCGTCCCTGGCCCCTCCGCCGTTGCCTTCGCCGTTGCCGTCGCCGTCGTCGTCGCCGCCGCCCCCTCCGCCGCCGCCGCTGCCGCCAACGCCGCCGCCGCCGTCGTCGTCGTCGTCGTCGTCGTCGTCGCCGTCGATGTCGTCGTCGTCGTCGTCGTCGTCGTCGTCGTCATCGTCCTCTTCCCCTTGCAGAGCAGCAGCAGTGGTGGCAGCGGTGTCGGCTGCTTGGGTTGACGGGGAATCGAGCTGGCTTCGACGGCGGTAAACCGCGGGGGGAGGGGAGAAGGAAGGGTCGAGGAAGCAGAAGGGGGAGGCGGGAGGCCAGGGAGGAGAAGGATGCAAGAAGGGGAAGTAGGGGAATAACAAGTGACGTAAACATACCAACTCGGAGGTCCGCGCGGATTTCTGGGATCGGCGCTGGACCCCATCCCTGGCGCGCGGAGCGCGCCAGGGGCGGCGCCGGAGGCGCCGCCGGGGGGCCCCAGCGCCGATCCGAGAAATCCGCGCGGACCTCCGAGTTTTTATGTTTATGCCATTTTTATTCCCCTAGGAAGGGACGGGGATGAGGTGGACCATTGAGGAGCGGAGGAGGGTGGAAGGAGGTGGGAAGGTCGGAGAGAGGTAGGGGGAGAGGGTCGGCGAGGAGGGGAGGGGAGGGGGCGGGCGAGGATCGCGACGACGGTGGAGTGCTGGGGCAGGAGAGGGGGCGGCCTGTGCTCCTGCTTCTCCTCCTCCTCCTCCTCCTCCCTCCCTCCCTCCTCCCTCCCTCCCTCCTCCCTTCCTCCTCCATCCTCCTCCTCCTCCTCCTCCTCCTCCTCCTCCTCCTCCTCCTCCTCCCTCCTCCTCCTCCTCCTCCCTCCTCCCTCCTCCCTCCTCCCTCCTCCCTCCTCCCTCCTCCCTCCTCCCTTCTCCCTCCTCCCTCCTCCCTCCTCCCTCCTCCTACTCCTCCCAGCCGTCGGGCAGCCATTTCGGCCGAAGCGATGACGGATGCGCAGAGGGCGGAGCTGGAAGAGATACTGACCACCTCGCTGAAGTCCAACACCATCGAATGGGCCGTCAACCTCCGAGTGTGCGACATGCTCCAGGCTCTCCCGCCCTCCGACCCGCCGCCATATATAGAGCAGGAGCGCAGACAGGAGGGCCACGCTGGGCTCCGGAGGGGCTCCAGTGTTCGGGCCGCTCTCCAAGCATAGGAGTCAGGAGACCCCTCCATGGCCGAGGCGCGCCGTGGCCAGACCGTCTCCTTCGCCTCCTACTTGGCGGTCCTCGTGGCAGCGCGATGACTGTAATCGAGGTTGGACAGCCCCCCTACCCTGAAACGTCGATTAAGGAATTGGCCGTTTTCGAATCGCGAGAAGGCGTCGCGGCCGTCATTCTTGCGGGTCCAGGTTCGTCGGTTTCGGTCCCAGGCCGTTTTCACTAAGGGGAGGTTTACTAAAGGGAGGTTTGGCCACCGCCGATGTAAGCTGTCCACATCCAGGGCCTCGGGGTCGGGCCGCAGGGTCTCTAGGAGCGGTGGGCACGTGTGGACGTGTGCCTCGCCCCTGCGGGCGGTCAGGCATCCGGACCCATCCCCCTGCGCAGGGAGCCGGGGCAGGAATCCAGGAGGGTTGGATGTGGTTGCCTCCCGGCGGCGAACCCACGGGGGGAAGCGAGATGGGGGCCAGGCCATGTCGGAAGGGGGCGGGGTTTCTCAGATACCCTCGCGCCTGGTGGACTCGTGCATCTCGCTCCTCGCTCTCTCTCTCTCTCTCTCTCTTCGGCGATGGGGGTCGGCGCACTCCGGCTTCATCGCCCTCGTCCTGCACGTGCTGTTCTTCTTCGTGTGAATTCATGTGCGGCGTATGTTAATCAGGAGGGGAAAAATCACAGGCACAATTCATCGTCGATTCCCCAGAAAATATGGGAAAATACGGGAGGTGGGGGGAAGGCAAAAACCCAGAACACATGGGAACACATGGGGAATCCTTTTGCTTGTGTGTATTTCTTTTTGTGTCCCAGGGCCCCTGCAGTTAAGAAACAGCCTGTCAATAGCATCGGAGGAGCCCCGCCGCCCCCCGAGAAGGCCTGCCCCCTCTCACTCTTTCCCCCCCCCGCTCTGGGCTCGCCGCGGAGTCTCCTGGCGCGGTGCCGCCGAGCTCGTGCCTTTCTCTCCCCCGTGGTGCCGCTTTGGCACGGCTCTCCGTGCGCAGCCAGGAGTATTCAGTCGGGCCTGTCCCTCTACAGGAGGAACATTCAGAAATAGTCAGGGAATTCGTCCGGGGACGATCTTTTGAGTATTGTTTAACCATTTTGGAGCATTTTTGGCGTATCTTTTATTTTTCGTCGAAAATCCCCCTGTAGGGGGACAGGCCCAAATTAACAGTAGTCTGATCTCTGTTCCTGTGAGCAGTTGTGGGAGCTGACGAAACGTTGGGTGCCACTCCGATGGCGAAGCGCCCTGGCCTTCGTGTACGTCTCCTGCCGCTCGCTCCTTGGCCCCCCTGTTCTTAGCTCTCCACCGCTGGCGCAGCCAGCTCTGCCTCGCCGCCGACGGCGCCAGAGTCCGCAGGATGGTATCTACGCGCCGCCCTGCAGGGTCAGACTCTCCTGAAAACAGACTCGTGTACAGACTCTCCTAAAAACAGTCAGACCCTCCTGAAAACAGACTCTCCTGAAAACAGTCAGGACGTTGTGTACAGACTCTCCTGGTATCCCCAAGCTCGTGCACAGACTCCCCCGAAAACAGCCAGGACGGTGCGTGCGACAGATCCGCATCGCCTCGACGCGGCTGCGACCCCGGCCCGGGGCGTCCAAGGCTGAACGCCGCGGCCCGCAGCTAGCCGACGTCGAGCGGCCTGCGCTGTCGTGAGCCACTGTCCTTCGAGGCCGCGCGATCCGTGCGGTGTCGGAAATTAACGCCGGCGTCGTCACGCCACGGGCTTGCCGCACGCGTGATGTTCAGGAGGGGAAAAAACACACAGACACAATTAATTGTCGATTCCCAAGAAAATATTTATTTGTGTGTCCCAGGGCCCCTTCAGATGCGTTGTCGGGGGTGGGCAGACCTCCTGCCCTGACACGTCGATTAGCGAGTTGACCCTTTTCTGTGCGCGAGAGGGCGTCGCGGCCGTCATTTGTTCGGGTTCGGGTCCGGCGGTTTCGGTCCCAGGCCGTTTTCATTAAAGGGAGGTTTACGAAAGGGAGGTTTGTCCTTCGCCGAGGTTGCGAAGTTGCAGGTCGCAGCAACGACGCGCGATGTGCGCCTGCAGTTCTTTTCAGAGTCTTCAATCAGGGGCAGCACTGGGGGGGGATAGACTCAGGGGAAGCGCATCGACCCCTAATCGCCCACTGACCACCGACATGGGCCCGATAGCCCCGCCCGCCCTAGGAACACGCAGTTGTGCTGTCGAGGGGGCCCCTCGCCGAACTATCGGCGATGTGTTGCCGACTCCAGGTCGAAGCTCCCCCCCCCCTTGAGCCGTTCCCCCCCCAGGGGCCGGTCGCCCCCCGGGGAGGAGGAAAAGGAGGAGGAGGAGGAGGAGGAGGGGGAGGACGAGGAGGACGAGGAGGTGGAGGAAGAGGAGGAGGAGGAGGAGGAGGAGGAGGAGGAGGAGGAGGAGGACGAGGAACTGTTTGGGATCATGAGGAAGAGAGCGAGGCGGTCAAGGTGTTCCCCTCCTGGCACTGCTGCGGCCCGATGGGGCCCCAGCGAGGTCGTCGCGGCGACAGCGCAGAGGGGTCGCAGGCGCGGAGACGCGCCCCAGCGGGAAGCTCGGGCCGCCTCCAGAGCAGCACCGACGCCCTTGGGAAACGGGGCGAGGCGGGCGAGGAGGGCGAGGCGGCGGTCGTCGTCGTCGAGCGGTGGTATAAGCAGCTGTGCTCGACATCAACAGGCGGCTGCAAGCAGTCGCATGCAGCAGAGGCCCAGGGCCAGAACCCAGCCCTCCGACCCCCCCCCTTCCACCCAGTGTCGAACTGCCGAACAAGAAAACGCCCACCTGGTCGAGGCAGGCCTCGACAAACCTACGCGCCGGTCGTTCGCTGGAAGCAAGTCGTTGTTCACTGGGTGCGTTCCACGACTCGCAAACGTCCAGGAAAAAAGCATGGTCGCCTCGATGTGATGGGTCCTCAAATGCTCTTCGGTGGAGCCTGGCCATTTGCGAGTAGTTACATTGCGAGTAGCGGAACGCGCTTGTCCAATGTTTGGATATCCTCCGATCCCGATTTTCGTCAAGCGCGTTCCTGCTTCAAGAGTCGACAAGCGTTTGCTGCGTTCTGTTTTTATTTGGGAGGGCATGCGCCCAATCTACTCTATCCGCCTTCCCACTTTATGCTTTGTTTGCTTATCTGCTCCTTCCAACCGACGTGGACGTGCGCAGTTCGGATCCGTCGCTGTGTAGCCCGAGATGTCCGGGCACGCCCGTAAGAAATCGTGGAGGCTCGGGCGCGAGCCGCGGGACGGCAGACCGTCGTCAGGCCCTGGGGCGAGTGAGGAGGCCGCCCCCGTCGCCCCTCCGCAAGGCGAACCCGACCCTGGCGCCGCGCGTGATGGAGCGGGTCGCCGCGCGGCTGCAGAAGGAGACCTCGTGCTTCGCGGGCGCCTCGCCTCGCATCGGCGGAGTATGCCCATCGGTCGTTGCGAGTAGAGGTCTTTTTGGAGTCCCAGAGTCCAAACCTGCTTTGTGCGCCTTCCTACCTCAATGATACTGTGGCTTCACTCTTTCACGTCCGCCTCAGGGGGCGGGCGCACGCCCAATCTACTTTCAACATCTGCCTACTTCATGTTTCTACCTACTTCTTCCGACCGATGGGCAAAATGTACGGATGCCGCTGCCCTTCGCGCCCGTTTGCCCCTCCCTGGGCCTCCTGGGAGATCCTCGTCGCCACCGCTGGATTCGCTTCGAGATTCTGGCCAGAACGCACCCCAGGACAGGTCCGGGGAGTAGCGGTAGCGGTACCTTTTTGGTTTCCCCATCGCAGGACCCGTTTTGATCCGATAGTATCCGCCCACCAAACCACTCAACCCAGCCCGAAGGCCCCGATTTGCTCTCCATTTCCACTGAGGGGGGTCGGGGAGCATTGAACACATACATGTGAAGCCCGTACCCCCCTCTGCCAACCCGATATTCGGGTCGGGTTGGCTTGGGGCGTTCTGTTAGGCAGTCAGGTCTTCTCAGAGGTCGGCGGGGCTTCTTGGCAACCCTCGAGTCTTCTGAGAAGCCGTCTGCGGCTTCGGACAGATCAGGAGGGGAAGCAACATTCAGACACAATTAGTCGCCGACTCCCAGGAAAAACAAACGCGAAAATATGGAAAGTGGGGGGGGAGAGGCAGAAACCCAGAACATCTTTGAACATATGGGGAATCCTGGGATTTGTGTGTATTCATTTGTGTGTTTGTGGGCCCTGTCACGTCTGCGGCTTCGGACGGTGCTTGCAGGTCTTCTCAGAAGGACCGAGGACTTCTTAGACGCCGCCGAATTGAGGCGCATGTTCATGGGCCTGTTTTCCACCACCACCATAAGTTGGAGGGGGGAGGGCGGTGGAGAATGAGGAGGCGAACGAAGAGGAGGAGGAATAGGAGGAGGAGGAGGAGGAGGAGGAGGAGGAGGAGGAGGAGGGGGCGTATTATGAGGAGGAGGAGGAGGAGGAAGAGGGGGAAGACCCCCTCCCCCTCCTACTTATGGTGGTGGTGGAAACGATCCCACCACATGTGTTACCTACCGGCGGACATCGGTTCCATACGAAATCGGCACGCTCTGTCGCCAAGTGAGGCGGCACTGCCCTCACGTACGGGGGGTGTACCTTCTTCGACCCGCGGGATCCGTGATCCATGTGTGCGTGCGCCTGACTGTGTGTTTGCGGGCGCCTCGCAGGGCCCGATGCGATCCGATCAATCGGATTCGATCTCGCCGTCGCCGGGCGGTTCGGCTCGGATCCGATGCGGTTTGGTTGCGATGTTCCTGCGATCCGGTGCGGCCAGACGCCCGCAAGGGCGCAGGTTGCGCACCCTGGCGCGGCGGATCCGATTCGGTTTCGCCTCCGTGCCGACGCAGCTCGACCCGATGCACGTTCTGACACGATCCGATGTCCTGTTCTGTGCTGGCGGATGCTCTCGCTCGCCGGGGCTCGGAAACCTGCTCCCCAGTCGTGAGGCGCGCTCGGTTCCTGAAGCGCAGTCGTGAGGCGCTCTTGGTTGCCGATTCCCAGTTTGCAGTTCACGAAGGGTTGTCCATCGCGCGCTCCTCTGCTCGACTAGACGTAAGAGTGACCCTTCACCGGAGTGACCTCTGGTGCGGGCGCATGGGGGTTCCCCGATCGCCGAAATCGACGCGGTGGTAGCGTCTTGCGCGCCTGTGATTGGTCACCCCGCGGCCCCCCAAAGGCCGCGCACCAGAGGTCACTCTCACCCAGGGCCACTCTTGCGTGTAGCCGACTCTGCCCGCGCGTCCTTCCGGATGCTTGGCTCTGTGGTGGTGGTGGTGGTGGCGGGGGCCTGCTCCCTGCCCCTGGGGCCATCGCAGATCGCCGCGGGGGTGGAGGGGCGGCCCGGACGGACCTGGGGAGGGACCGAGGGAGCCAACCTCTGAGCGAGGTCCGTAGGGGGGCCGTGCGGATCGAGGATCAAGGCTTGTGGACGCCTCCGCCTTTTGGGGGGCCGCCACGAGTCGGCGGCGAGTCTGGGGGGGAAGGGGGGAGAAGGCCTTTTTTAGAAGGCTCGGACGTCCCCCCGGCCTTCTGGGAAATGCTCTAAGCCTTGCCCGAAGACGCAGAAAACTTCTCAGGAGGCGAAGGCTTAGAAGAAGGGCAAGGGATATAACATTTCAGAGG